TGAGAGAGGCTAAAAGTAAATCTGACTGGCTACTGGTCCACTCAGTAGATCAGACGTCATTACCTCTGTGCCTTTTTTATTCTATTTATTTGTTTTTAAACTAAATTAAACTAAATACCTACTCTCATAGGTAGCAGAGTCAGAAGTTGACATTAGTGATGAACTATATGTGAGTCTTTCATTTCTGCAGACATAATTTGTAGCTTTTATTTAGACGAGCAGAATCAGTTACCTGTTTTATCTCTCTTCTTAAATCTCTAAAAATAAAAATCTTTTATCGCATGATACAACTTTTATTATGAATTATTATTATTTCTTTACTCTGATTTTTTGTGAATTTTATATCGTTTGTTGTAACGCACTATGATACTTGTATTGAAAAGTGCTTTACATATAAAGTTATTATTATCGTTATTTATTTCAAAGTGCAGCAGAACTAGATCAAATCAGTATTTCATGTGACAGTGTTTTGTCCATATAACAACACCACTGCTGTGCCCCTTCAGAGGAGACACGTCGTAATCAGATTGAATTGCATGATATCATATATCAATTTTTGCATCACACAATTCCACAAGTGACCCAATGTTGACCTCCCTGCTGCATCATCCTCACACAGATCAACACGTCTGTGCATCTAATTTTTCATTTCCTTACTCCCTCGCATTTCTTGGAAAACACTAGATCATTTCTTCCTTTGCTGTGAAACTCATTCATCAGATACAAACAATAAACACCTGGAGATTTTTTTTTTATTCCTCAGGATGAATGAGGGTGGAATCTGATGACAGGTTGATATGTCATTCATACATCAAACTTCCTCGTTGAGCAATCCTGTACCTTTATTACAGAGCTCACTACTGCTTCTTCTTCCCCTTTAAATGCAATAGCTTCCTTATTTCATTGGATAACTACTATACTAGTGTTACACATCATCAGCGTGTCCACAATAACAGACATGCTTACTGGGAGGAAGTATGCAGGAAGTTGTGGCTCCCCAAAGAGCAGCAGGAGTGTTTTAGGAAAGCACAACTTCCTCCTTATCACAGCACATTTTACTGAATGTGCAGTTTTAGAAAAAGGGTGTCAGCACAGGTGTGGAATTATTTATCAGGTTTGTTTTCTGTTCACAAAAAATACAAAGACATCATTGATGGACAACACCACAATTATTGATGTGATTGATTATTGTTTATTTTTGGAGATTGTATCTTTTTCGCTTAATCAATATGAATAAATACATAAACTAAACAATAAATACTAAATAAATACAATAAATATATTAATGAATACATATATTATTCCATTGGAAATACATGGCAGATATGTCAGCGTAAAAAAACTCTGTTGTATCGACATGATCAGCCACTGAATGCTGCACCACTTTGATCAATGTGATCAAATAGGCAGGATGCTTGTAGAATAATTCTCAGCTGCAGAATCAGCCAACACTTAAAACACGCGATGCTCTACACGCATTTCTGAGACAAGCCTTTAGTGTGATGAGCCGGATCCCCAACAGCGAAGACACGAGCGGTGAGGATGGAGAAGGAGAAGAGTCTGTCCTTGGTGTAGTGGCACAGCGGAGCCTCCTGCCATTGATCAACGGTCTCTTCTTCACTGGGGTGGGAGTCCTGTAAAATAAAAAAAACATAGAGTTTAACAAATCTACAGAGTCTAATGATAAAATACCCCCTCCACCCACACCCTTAATCATGAAATAAAATGGTTTTACCTCCATGTGATCCATCCCTTCCCTCAACTTCACACATGTGCTCAGGTCTTTGTGCAGCTTCTCCATCACTGGCGTCACTTTGCTTGCAAACTCTTTGCAGCTCTGAACTCCAGCAACTCTCTTCACTGCAGCGTTGTAGCTCGTCAGGAGGCTCAGTATCTTCCCAATGCAGGGCTGAGGATGGAGAGAGGCACTTTAACATCAGGTACTCAACTTCTCTTGATGTCACAGTCTATCTTGTTCATACATAACCAAATACTGACACTGACATCTGTGTCAGTATTTACATCTGGTTTGTAAATGTGTTGCTTACTGCAGATGTATGTTTGAGCGTCGCAGGATCACACATGTCCTTGGCCTCTATCCAAGCAGGTAAGGTGTAGAAATCTATTTCTTCTTTGGGTGCCTACGGATCATATGAGTGGAGACAAGGTCAGTGCAGTATATAGCTTATACAAAATAATAAACATATGTAAAATAAATGTAAAGTAAATATTCAGTGAAGACTAATCATGATAATATAAATGTATGCAAATCATAGTTAAGCAAACTAGTTTCAAATCCTGTATGTTAATGTCACTTCTATATGTTTTGCATCAATAATTTCGAAATCATCCAAAAAAAACGACATTAAAATTAAAGCCAGTGTTCAGGTAATATTATACCGGTGTACAACTATACAAAGTAAATTCTGAGTGAAACAACTATCATCAAATGCTGTGTGTGAAGGTTATTTCCATATATTTAGCATCTACAATGAGTAATTCAGCACTCACCTGCACAGAATAGGTTTTAGCCAGGCGGTTGAGCTCCAGGGAGCTGCCCCGGACCTCCGCGCATGCATCCTGCAGCCAGCGGCCGGCGGTGGGGGCGCAGGAGGCGGAGGCAAACAGCCAGAGCAGCGCAGTGAACACAGAGAAACTCATGGTGTCTGTCAGAGATGATGTGGACGCGTCCTGTGGCTCCTGCTCGTCCCCGTCAGTGATGGACTCAAGAGTCCGGCGGCTGCTTTTAAATGGGCTCAGGTGCACGCCCGACTGGGACGTGGGAGGGGAGGGATTTCCTGGGCATCCCTCAGGTGAGTTCACACCGAGTGCATGACACTGTGAGGAGCAAATGAGTCACACGATGACCACATGATGTCATATCACAAAGTCCATACTGTCCGATTACAACCTGCTTCAAATAATCACATTTACCTGTAAATATAAGTAGTGGCTGATACAGACCTGCCACGTGGAGGATATATATATATATAGGGTTAGGGTTAGGGTTATATATATATATATAAATATATGATACACTAATTAATTTAGATGGGGGTGTCACTGCTGAGCTCAAGAGATGAGATTTGATCTGAATTTTGGATCAAACTTTCCATCTGCCCCCTTTTGTCAACCAGAGAAAACCCTCCTCACTTCTACCGAACTACAAAAGGAAACTGATAAGGGACGGCAGAAGATGTGCTCACACTTCCTTTACATTTCCCATGTTCTGTTATTCTGTAATCTGGAAATAGAGGTGTGGCTGTCGTGATGATCAACTCCAGTTGGTTGCAGATACGAAAATGGTGTGAAAAGAAGTGTTCAATGACCTCGAGCACCATCTTTACAATAGAAGTTCACATCATTTGTCTCATTACTTGTCCTTCAGTCTACATTTGATATTCCCTTGGTTCTAATTATTATTATTTGTATATCCATTGTTCAATCATCAAGAGAAAAGTGCTTTATAAATACATTTAGTACAGAAGACAATTAACATCATTCATGATTCAAGGAGGTTTATTTTCATTCAAAACATGAGGCACATGAGGGAACGAAAATAAGTACTGAGGACCCGGTGAGCAGCAATGAAATAGAAACACCAGAATCTCAAAACGAAGCAGAAGCAGCAAATCAACACAATGAAATAAAAACATTAAAACAATAGAATCTCTAACTAAACAATGATACAAACAAGCTCAATTAAAAAGGTGCAAACGAGTATTGTTAAATAATCAATATTCAAGTGTTATTGCACATGGAAAGAGTCTCTGGTGTGTGGGCGTATAAGTATAATGTGTACAGAGTTGAAATAATAAACACATGTAAAAATATATTAATGAATGAATGTACAAATATATGAGTTAAAGGTCCAGTGTATAAGATTTAGGTGAAAGGGATCTATCGGCAAACATTTAATGTAGAATAATCCTCTTGATGTTTTCACTAGTTAGTTTCATCTCAATTGTCTGAATTGTAGTTTTCTTTACCCCAGAAAAGGTCCTTTATATTTAAAAACTTTGTATTTACATCGGGGGACCCTCTCTACGGAGGCCGCCATGTTTTTTACATTAGTCCAGACTGGAAAAACTAAAACCTTTTGAGTTTTTATGACAACTGAAGCTACCACAGGTTCTTTTTCATGTTTGGAATGAGAGGGTGAGGTGAGGGCTGTTCAGCTGCAACAAGACATTTCAACACTAGATATCACTATGTTCTACACACTGTACCTTCAA